TACCCCCTAACTCCGTGCAGCCCGGCTATGGCTGCTTGCGCTCCGCTGCCCAGCAGTGCCACTTTTCACCACACACGCGCCCGCGCTCTGGCCTCAGTGCAGCACGCGGCCTCTAGCGCAGCAGCGTGACCGTGTTGTCTGCCTGGGCCAGAATACCCTGGACCTGGCTGCTCTCCTTCCTGTATGGAAGTGGCAGCCCCTGTGTTGCTGCGTGTGGCCTGGCTGGAAGCTCCCAGTAGCTTCCGGTCGAGCCCCAGTGCCTTAGTCTCCAGACTAGGGCCGTTTGCCACATTTGCACAGGACCCGGGCCCCAGTGCCTGAGTCTCCAGACTAGTGCCGTTTGCCACATTTGCACAGGACCCGGGGTAGATACGTCGACGGTGCTGCTTCTGCGTAGGCCTGTCGCCACTTTGTGATGTATCAGCCCGGCTTTGTGTGTATGTGCCCAGGCGCAACTGTCGAGGCCTGGGCCAACTGTACGACGCAGCTTAGGGAGGCTCGCGTGTCCACTCAACAAACTGGCGGGCTGCAACAGCCGGAGTGCCCACATATGAAAATGTCAAATTTTGGCCTCTGATGAATATTCAGGCCCGCCTTCACTTAGGGCAGGCACTCGACGTGCTGGGGGCCTCTGCCCAGAACATCCGTGAGGGCTCACTCCTCGCACTTGGACCATCTGTCGATTTATTTGTGTCGTCCTTGCGCAGGGGCAATTATAATCGTCGGCTCGGTATCGTTAGAATTTTGACGGATGTCCCTAAGGACTAAATGAAGAAGCTTGTGTGACCCCAAGGGACGGTTGGGATTGTTTTTCTGCCGCATGCCACTTGGGGACTTTCTTGAACGCGATGGACCCGCACTCCTCGTGGCTGTACCGAACCAGAAACGGGGCTTCTGTACATTGAAAAATTAGAATGGCGTGTGTTCGGGGGAAGAAGGTGGCCACTGGAGCAACGCATGAAATCGCGTGCATCTAACAGGGGGCCTAGTTGCACCACTCCCCATGCCCCAACGTCTTGGACACGCCACTTTCTAGATGCATTCAAAACCTTTGGCAGACGATGGGGAGTCGTGCAACCAGGCCCATAGTGTGGAATGAATTGTGTCAGTCGGAATATGTCGCCAATTCTTTTATTTTTGTTTGCACGCCAGTTTTTCGTCTGTTCGAAGCCAGGATGGCTGTGTATAGATGGATGTCTTTTGTCGTTTAGCGGCCGGTTTCCATATGGGGAATGTGGTCGACCGTGTAAGTGGGTATAGATGGCAGAGGGTGTCATTGCGCGTTTAATAAGGTTGCGGTCGCTAACCGGGCACCAACTGGTAGTTTCGTGAGGGAACATGGCGGCGGTCGTGGGGGATGGTGGTGTGGTCTTCTGGTGGAATGCGGGCAGGTGGAGGTCGTAGGGTGCTTTCCAGTATAGGAAAGTGCTTCAGTCTCTGACCATTCATTCTCCACCGAGATCAATGGTCAGTATTTTTTTTTTTTGTCTGGTCGGTACAGTTGCTGTTGTGGGCCTCACTGTACTATACTCGCCCAATGTGCAATTGGCAAATGTATCTTACCTAGAAGTTGGACAAGTGCGCTGGGCACTTTTTTGTTTTGGAGCGGGTCCTTTTTGGCGCCCCGGCACTCGTTGCGAGGGTTTGCTCATTTGCCTGCTCATTTACTGCCACCAACACTTCCTAGAGTTGTACCCGTGAACAAGCCATGATTTATTTTAGGAAATGTACAATGTACGGGCCACTACAGGAGCACCCAAATTCATCCCGCGAGAAATGTTTCTACTCTATTCTTTTTTTTCCACGGCCTATAGCTGGACGAAGTACTGGTACTGGTGGTTTAACGAATGGGCGGTGGCCGTCTCCATCTGAACGGTGGGACTGGTATATGTCCCAAATGTGCGCTTTGCGATACCCCCGCCGTCCTGGCTGCGCCCCCACGCCCTGCGTGGTATCAGTGTGATTAGGGCCTCGCCACTCACACACGACGGGTGCATCTTCTCACAGAGAATGGCAAGATGCATCTGTCACTATGAGTAGAAACCAATGCATCTGACCACTTTTGCAGGGACAATGCATTCGGTCTTTTTTCGTTTCGACAGTGGTGTGGCAAGGCCCGGAAAGGACCTGGCTCACTCCACCACCCACCGAAAAATGTGCGAAAGGTGGGTGAGCGGCGGCCACCGCAGCGCTACAGTCTTCCCCCGAACAAAACGCACGTGCGTTAATAAAACTCTGTGCGTTGTATTCGTTTATAACGCACGTGCGTTATACTACGGATATTGGGTATCAACTTCTAAAGACGAGCCCCCAAAAAAGACCGGTACCCAGTGTCCGTGTAGGCCCAGGCGCAAGGATGGCAGGCATAAGTCTGATAATGGTAGACCTGTGAAAAAAAAAAAACCCAAAAGACCAACTGTAAAAAAAAAAAAAAAACTCGAAAGACCGCCAAGAAACGGTCGAACTGTTCGAACACTGTGGCGTCCTTGCCACCGGGCCCAGTGTTTGAACAGTCAGGCCGGACACATGCAGTAAGTAACATTCGAAAGCAGCAATCAACGCTGCCAGTGCCAAGTACCGCTCCAAGAACAACAGGCAAGCCATCCAGAAGCCGCCAAGAACCAGGGAGAGAGAGAGAGAGAGAGAGAGAGAGAGAGAGAGAGAGAGAGAGAGAGAGAGAGAGAGAGAGAGAGAGAGAGAGAG